CCGCGGGGTACCCCTCTTTTTGGTGGTTTTGGCGGTCGGTGTCCGGAGCTCTCATAATTTTCCTTTTTGTACACTTAAATGTTGACAATATGTGCTATGAACATGGGAAACCAAACCTGCCGCTACAATGTTTGCTATTAACATCAATTGATAATCATTGCAATACGACTTAATTGACATGTTTAACTGTACAATGTCCACTGCTTGCTCATATGCTTGTTATAACTCTATGTATGCATCTTTCTAAGGATGTCCATATAATTTGAAAATCAATAAAAAGTTGATGGAAAAAATAATTAAAATCACTGCACCTGGTGACTATTCACAGAAACAGACAGCGTTTCAGCGTTTGGAATACACTTTTGTATTCCTAGATTTATAGCGCTACTTTGAATCACAAACAAAATAACCAAAATTTCCTTTCTTATCTTTACAGACATATGCAGTTGGCTGCAGAAACAGTCACACCGAAACATCGGAGGATTGCTCTTTCTTTAGCTTTCCAAGCACACCAAAAATAATTAAGGAGTAGCTCTTAGCAACCGATGATTTTCAAAATAGAAAAGCAGCCTTTCAACTAAAAATGGAAACAAAGAAAGCATAACTTTGTGTATATGTTCTAACGATTTTGCTCCAGAAATGGTTTCAACAGGTGGATAGAGAAATAGGTAAACATTTTATGCAAAACCCACTATTTTTCCAAAAGCAAACGTTTGAAATATTATTCACAATCTAACAGCAAGAGGGCAAGAAAACATTTGAGATATTGAAATGGTTGACCACAATACATCATCAGATGTTGTGCAAACAAAAAGTTAGAAGAAGGCAAGGCAATAATCTTCAACCATAAGTATGTAGAAGGTTAAATTACAGCTTGCTTTTAAAAAACAGCACATCCATTGTGCAGATGAATGATACAAGTGTGTCAACTTCTAAATATTATGGAAAAACATTATGGAAAGAGGAACATGTCAACACAAAGGGAAAATGTAATTGTGAAAAAAAAAATGTGTCCACAATAAGTATTGATTTACTCACGAAGACTAACATCTAGACTTGGACCGGTACGCCTGAACAAACAGTTGAAGTCTTAGAAAAATTGTTTAACACTGAGATTTTCATGGAAACAGATGTCACCGAATATGGTCTTACTAAATTGGATGATGCACTAGAAGAAATTGATCCAATGCTATCTCCAACAATATCTCACCAAGCATCTTTTGCAGAAAATATTACTACTTCCTCACAATTTTATAGCATGACAGGAGGCTTCATATTTGCTTTAACCTTTTTTAGTGAACCTCCCCGCAGCAAAGTAACAGTTGAACATATAATAAAGAATCACCCAATCATAAAGTATGCCATTAATATAATAGGCTGCAAGACTCCTTCCAACCCCTTTTTCTTTGCTGCTTCCCTCCCAGGTGAGTCTTTTATGATTATAGTATTTTATTATCTCTAACATCAGTCCCTTTGTTCATATCGCTCGCTGTTACCGTCCGCGACCATCTTGGTAGCATCCCTGCAGTGTCTATTCTCTGCAGTGTTATTAAAGCTCTCCTTAACTTGGATCGATTCAGCCCTGGGAAAGTACCTGAAACATCTCTGTTTGAGCCTTATATCTGGTCCCTATACTTTTTAAAACACAATACTTCAAAATTTTTAATTTGGAACCTGTTTGTGTTTCTCTTACAGGTCTCTCCTCTACACAAATCCTTGCCTTACTATTGAGTGTGACCACCGCTCACCTCATTGCTGAGGGTAACCCCCTCTTGCTTTATTACACAGGGTGAACCCCTATACTTGATAACACACAGGGTAGCCCTGTTATTATTTCTGGACAATTACACTTCCCTCATACAGTGGGTGAACCCCATTAATACACTATTGAGGCTGACCACCACTTTTTAATTATATGTGGCTGACCCCACTTGTTTACCTTTTTTTCTTTGGATGACCCCCAAGACAAGTCCACTGCCTCTATTATTATTTATGTAAATATTTAAGTCTGCTCTGTAAAAAAGAAAGTTTGTACTTTTACTGTAGTAGTAGTGACCCTACTACTTTAATTGATTATTAACATATATTATGTCTGATCAACCAGACCCTGCAGTATTAGCTGAGCTTAAAGCCTAGCTTTATAACACCATCGCTGATTCCATCCCCAAAGCCTTGACGACCTTCAAGTGCTGGCCCCTATTACTGAATTTTTAGATTCTGGTGATTCCTGGGATCATGATGAGGTCCCATGCAAGTGCTCTTGGAAAGGAGATAGCATTTCTGCCGGTAAAGGCAAAGCGCCGGCAAAAACCTCAATGTTGTCTCATACCAAAGAAAAAGAAACCACTTTCCAAATGACTTTAACCCAGTAGAAGGTTTGACTATTAATTATCATCTCCAAGTCGTGGATGAGTATTGTGCAGGATATTCAGATGAGGTTCTACCACCTCATATAAAACCATGGGAGTATTCTCCATCTGATTACATTGAGGAGTCTTTTCTCCTACCCCGAAACCAGACCTCACTAGCGTCTGACTCTATCTCTAAATCGCAAGATTACTCATACGATATCCTACTAGATACTACTGGCCGTCCCTTACGGCAAAAGGCTGTCTTAAATAAAATTGATGCCAAGCTTGCCAGGCACTAAAGAACTTGGGCCTGAGGCTCAAGGGATGCTGTTTGGGGAAAGGTTCATTAGAGACCTACGTAAACATGTCGTGTTTACCACCCTTACTAAAGCACAGTCATCCCTTCACAAGGTATTCAGAACCAAGTGTTTTTCTGGGAGAGCTGGTCGCTACAGAGGCCGAGCAACCAGCAGAGGTGCCTTCACAGGCTACAGGCCACGACCCTCGGATACATGGAATTTGGGCAATATCCGTTTGCACGACAGACAGTTTTTCCTCTCTTGAGAATCTATTAGAAGATGTGCTTCTGCTTCCCTGCGCATGGTCCTTCCTTATTCTTATATACCTATTGCAGGCCAGTCAACCCATTTTTCCCAACAGTAGTCTCAGCTCACTTGGATCCTTGGATTCTTCAGACAGTGTCTGGTTTCCATTTGAACTTTATAGATTACCCTATTTGCTCAGGATTTCCGAAAAGGACAATACGGCCTTATAGGCTGAGCTCAACAAACTAGTCGCCAAAGGCATTATCGAACAATCTCTATTCCCACAGAGTTTCATAAACAACATGTTCCGGTCCAGAAAAAGTAAGGAGACTGTTGACCAGTCATCAGTTTGAAGGACCTGAACAGTTTCATTGTGTACAGACATTTCAAGATGGAGGGTATCCACCTGTTATGCAACCTACTCTGCGAGCGATATTGGTTCATGGACAATGTGTCAGCAGTCCGTTGTGTGAATCGCCTAGAAGGTTCTTGTTTAAAGGTGCTCCCTGACAAGCAAACTGTATAAATTCTTCCGGGACAGTAACATCTGTCTTCAAGCGGAATATCTGCCAGGCTCAGACAATCTCGTCGCAGACTGGTTTTTCCAATACTGGAGAGACTCCAGGGATTGGCAACTGGAACCACACATTTTCCACCATCTCCAACTTCATGAGGACCATTCATCTTAGATCTGTTTGCGTCTTGCCTGAATCGACTCGGAGTCAATGCCTTCTTCAATCGTGGCTGATGTCCATAGTTTATGCCTTTCTCCATGATTCCATACACACTACAGTATATCAAAACTCTGAGTGTCAAGACAACACTGGTGAACCCGTTATGGCGAGCCCAACCATGGTTTCCCAATCTCCTGGAAATGTCAGTGGAGTATCCCCTACTACTGCCGACCACCTATGATCTTCTCAGGGATCCAACAGGCAACTTTCACCCGCTTGTCTTGTGGGGTCATCTACAATTTGTGGCCTAGACCATTTCAGGAGATCCTGGAATGTCTCAGGGCTCTCGTCTACTGCTCGAGGACTCCTATGGGATTCATGGGCTCCAGGGATGATACGTTCGTATCTCTCCGCATGGTGTGTTCTCCACACGTTTAAACAGCAAATATGAAGCCTCCTATCTTGCCATAAAGCTCAGGATTATTCTAGACTTGTGACCGAATAATCTAAATATTTTCCTGCCCAACTTGTTCTTTCCCACCCTGTACTTTTCTGCTTCGATTTCTATTCTGTTTTATGCTGTAACTACCTTTCTATGGCTATACCAGCTATAACAGTTTGGATAGTCTTAGTATATTTCCGAGTTATGTGATTACATTTACATACTATTTGATCAAGTGTACAAATTTGTAAATCAATATTTTGCATATATATATTCTTGTCCAAGTGACTACACTTTCATAATGTTTCTCTTCTTTTTAGTATGAAGGTTTTTGCTTTGACTTAGTTTCTTCTGGTTTACATGGTTGAATTCATCATTCTGATTTACCTGGCTGTCTGCACTTTCATCTTCTACATCAAGAAAGAGGAGTTCGGAGGAGTCTCACAGCTTATTATATTAATGACATAATTTTTGATTATATGCTAACTGTTTTTTTTTAATGCTACGAGGTACAGTAAAAAAGGATAAAACATGAAAAAAATATGAAGCCTCCTCCTTTTTGATTGAGCCTTCTCCTGAAGATTGTCTCATAGAAAAAAATATTGTCTTTCTTTGAGACATGTCTTGATGAGTTCCTAAGAAAAGTGTAAACCTGTATATTTTTACCAGCATGCAATACACCTGTCACTCACACCAACAAAAATATAACATGAACTTTATTGAAAGCATATATATGTGAAATGAACAATTGTTGTGAACCGTGGAGAAGCCAGCCAATGATTGGAAATTAGAAATGTAAAAACAGTCATCAATGTGACATAAGGCACGACTGTAAGAACTTTTGTTCGAAACTGGCAATAATATGTAGGCAATCCATGTACAAAGAACAAGGAACTAGTGATGCCCCGAACGGTTCGCCGAACGGTTCGCGAACGGTTCGCCACGGACTCATCATTGAGTAAACTTTGACCCTATACCTCACAGTCAGCAGACGCATTCCAGCCAATCAGCAGCAGACCCTCCCTCCCAGACCCTCCCACCTCCTGGACAGCATCCATTTTACATTCATTGTGAAGCTGCATTCTTAGTGACCTGTCCAGGAGGTGGGAGGGTCTGGGAGGGAGGGTCTGCTGCTGATTGGCTGGAATGTGTCTGCTGACTGTGAGGTACAGGGTCAAAGTTTACTCAATGATGAGTCCGTGGCGAACCGTTCACGGTGAACCATTCGCGAACCGTTTGGCGAACCGTTCGGGACATCACTACAAGGAACTGGTTTCTTGGCAAAAATCATTAATTACAAGTGAGCAGCATGTTCGTTGTGCAAAGGGAGTAAATAATTGTTAACGGAAAAGTGGCAGTCAATACTTTATCACATTTTGAATATATATTAATGTGACTCTGCAACACTGTACCACGAGTGTGAGCATAGAGAATATGACGATACATCTGACAGAAAACAAATAGCTGAAAAAAAAGTGGACTTGCATACTCTAAACTTTAGAGCATTGTAAATGATTATAAATTTGAAGACTTTCCGCACTTGGAGTTCTGTCACATCAGCTCTCTATAAGTGTTTCACAGTCTTGGGTTAAAGTCCAAAAAGATGTGTTATAGTCCAAAACGAATACACTTCACAATGGGTAGGATGGTAGCCAGGATGCAATTAGCAGTCTGGGCACAAAATGCCAATGTGCACAGACAGCAAGCCACTATTCATAAAACTCATGAATGAAGTGGACAAATTGCTGAATTGTGGTTCAGACCTTTTTTTCTTGAAAAGAACAAAAACTTGGAATATGTTAAAAATATTTGACAAACCTTTTAATCGTATTTTCCCAGTATTGCTGATGTAATAAGATTAGCTTCTGGTGACTTGCAAGTCAATTAGGAGTCACAGAGAAGTCAGTTACCAACACATGTAGTGTCAACACATAGAAACATAGAATGTGACGGCAGATAAGAACCATTCGGCCCATCTAGTCTGCCCAACACCTGAACCATCCACCAAGGAACTATCCAAACATCATGTTTCCCATTTTTGACCCAGAAAACTGTAGCTCTTCATTGAATGATGTACATTTGTCTATATAATGTTTTTAAACTTGTATTTAATTTAAAAAAAGAAAATGAACTGTAAAATTTGAAACTGAACAAAGAATGTGGAATGGCAAACAATAAGGGAAATTGTAGACTGATGCCAATACAAAGAGAATAACATGTGTTGACTACTTTACTAGGTCAACAGAGAAGGGGTCTTCATGTGCGTATTGAAAACCCCATGTAAGTGTTGTCCAGTGCAGGAAGCTGTGACATAATCCATTTCACAGTAAATGAAGGAATTGGCTGCTACCTTTTTGGCCCTTGGTAGCCATATACCCACACAGTAAATGACCTATAGGTGGTCATTCTGTAGTCACTAGGAAAAATGTACACTCATTGAAAAAATGAATTCCGGTTTGAATTATAAATATCACATTGATAACATGACAAATAATGATTAAATAGAACAACTTCAATATGTTTAAACCATCAACTATAAATATTCCCTATTCTAGGGAAATGGCATCCTGTTTGTGTATAACGTTACAGGGTTCCTTATTATACATAGGTTTCGCTAACGTCTTTCAACTAAATGGCTGTTCGATTTACTTTTTCTAATTCATATTTACTATGTTCTGAAGTAGACAAATTTAAAACCATTAAATTGGGTAACAGTAACAACCCCTGGATGTTGGGCTAAGGTAACATCCCCAGGATGTACTTGGAAACCAGAGTAATCTGAATGTGCCTTTCCTGGTTAAATACGTTATTATTATGTGTTATTATGTGTAGAAATATTTTCCTATGAGGGATTTTTAGACCCTGGATGTCCTCATGCAAAGCGTGAGGACATACAGCATTGTTTCACATTGTTTCAAACTCCATGAAACAGCAGGAAAATTCTGAATTCATTAAGTGACACTGGTTGACTCACCTTTCCTGCATTTGCTCTGGAGACAGGAACCAGACATAGCTTAGACCATATATGTACAGTCAGCATGTGCGCCCATGAAGAAAGATGAGCTAATTCCACATGGATCATCTTACTAGTCTTTACAGCACCATTTTGGAAATTACCAAATATATAGTTAGTTAAAGTTGACTCTTTGTGAAGTCATTTCAAGATTCTTCAAAGATTGACCCTCATGACACTTGTGGAGTGACTTTCCATGGCTTATATTAATGACTATCTAGAAGCAAAGAAAAAACACGTGAAATAAAGAACCAATCAGAGTACAGACAGAGTCTATATAAGCAGGAGTACATCCACATCACTTCCTCTTTCTTTGCTGCTCCATCACAAGTCAGGTCAGAGTACTGCTTCTTTAATTCAATGTATATTTGAAATAGATATATATTGTATGTTTGGTTTTCCTGGGGGTTGTAGAGGGTCCCTTGCTAGTCCCCTGCAGGTGTAGGTTTAATTTGTATGTTTAAGTGTGACTACAAACTCTCCAACACACTGAGGCAGCCTGTTGGTCTTTCCCCCTATCTTCCCCCTCTCCCCCACACCGGCTACGTTCGCCACTTTCACTCTGGATGCTTCCCGCGCTGTTCACAGTGCTCATGTGTGAACAGAATGGGCAGTTCGGCTACTTCTCTGTTTGTGCCTTTCGGGCCGTTCGTTTCCCTGTTCGTGCCTGTATACTACACGAACGGTTACCCAGGTCTTGTGCCATGACCTGCGATTCATGGAACTCCATTCGTGGAGTTCTCCCCTTCCCCCTGCTGCTACCTTCCGTGCTGTTCACATTGACTTCAGTGCTGTTCGCATTGACTTCAGTGCGAACAGACCGGGCAGTCCCTCCTCCATTTCGTGCATTTTGGCACGAACGGAGCAGTCACTGGATTCCCCGTTCGTGCCTATTTTCACGAGCAGTCGGAACTTGGTGAAATACCATACGGTCACCTGTTTGCGTTCGGCTGTTCGTTCGACTAACAAATCTGCTGAACGCAAGGTTACTTACCCTGTATCCCGCGAAGTGTTTTGCGGGCTTTTAAAGTGACAGTTAGCCCAGAACTCACGAGACCTGCGGTGGCCATCTTGTTAGTGTGTTTGGCGCGGATGTGAACCCTCAGCAAGAAGAAGCTCCTGATTTTGTGACAGATTACTACTACTTTCAAATGGTGATTTTTCCTGTTTTTCCACAGGGACCTGTTACAGGTTGGTGTGTTAACCCCTGGGGAGTAGGACTGCCAGTCAGGTATAACCTAGTATTCTGGCAAGGGGTGAGCCCCCGTTTGGGTAATTCCCAGAGTGATGCCTACCGGAATCTGCTGTAGCAATTCCGTTTTCCTGGCTGAACCCCAGTGATTATAAAGGGTCTGCTTTACCACGCCATTAGGCGTTATATAATGTATGGCCTATGGCCTTTTGACAAGTCCCTCCCTCATGGTCCTTATACCTCTCCTACCTGTGCCTGTTATCTGTCTAGTATAATGGAGGATACACAGAATCCCATTGACCTGCAGGCCATGATTAACGCGGCGGTAGCCGCATCCCTCAAGAAGGCCATGGCAAAGGTGCTTCCAGCGGCCTCTGATACCCTCAAGCCGACTGGCAAAACTAATTGCACCAGGGAGGACTCAGAAGAATCAGATGATTCCTCCAGGGAGAGACAGCGCCTGGCGAAACGCTATTGGAAGGGCGAAGAGTCTCGAAAGGCCGCTAACAAGGGCAAGGCGCCCCTTAAACGAAAGAAACGCCTCGCTCCCGCAGCCCCAGCGTTCCCTAAAGAAGTCTCCTCGGACAAGGACAGGGATATGCCCCACTCCCTCTCCATCCTGGATGAGTGGCAGGCAGGGGTCTCGGACTCAGACAAGGACGATTGGGGCTGCAACGCCTACATCAAGGAGACCTTTCTGGGTGAGCCCAAGAATAAAATAGATGCAGAGTCTTCCACGATGGCCGCTACTCAAGAACAGGAGGTCTTTCTGGATGCCACGGCACAACGGATGTTTGATCCCAGAAACATACGCCACCCCCGCTCCGGGGAATGGGCTCCACCTGACCACATACAAAAATGTATGCACTTCTGGATTCGCAAGCCTTTGGAGAAACATGTCGGCAAAAGGATGCGGGCGGAGTGCCCTAGACCTTCCCTGCCAAATAAGGTGGCATTTACGCCGCAGTTTGACCAACTCATGCTGGCCTTCATGGAACGAGGCAGCCGTGACCCACGCTGAGTTGTCGAACGTAGCTTCAAGGGGGCGCAAGACAAGCTCCTGGATGCAATGGGGCCACTGGCCCGGGTGATGTACCTGGCGGATGATGCTTACGCCAGAGCAGACTCCTTCTACACGGATATGCGTGAATGGGCACATGACATCAGGGAGTGGACCCAAAGGGGTTTCTGCTTCCTGGGAAATACTAATGTGGCCCTCTCGACAGAGTGGCGCTGCGCAGCACTCTTCCGCATCGACCCAAAGTTGGCTGACCTTGGGGTAAAAGAATTAGGCCCGCAGGCACAGGGCAAACTTTTTGGAGAGGCATTCATGAAGGAGCTGAACAAGCACGTGAACGTATTAACTTCTTTGAACAGGGCACGCACCTCCATGCGTAAAGTGTTCAGAGGCAACCCCTCCAGGGGTGTTTTTTCCAGGGCTGGTCGGCAACGGGGCCATGCTACCAGCCACTTTTGGCCATCAGGCCCCCGCAATGGACCTCCTCAGCACTTCTATCCACAACAGTCCTATCTGGACTACCAGAGGGGATTGGACAGAGGCCGGGGAGGACATTCCCACGCAAGATTTCCCACAGTTAAGAAACACAAATATGCCTATTTTTATTAACCATGACTGTGTTGGGTGTTACAGACGGTCAGAGACTACCACCCACATTGAATTACAGACATGCCCAATTCAAAGGCGACCCATTCACCCCCTATGCTTCACTAACACGAACGCCCAACTCAGAGTTGGAGCTATGAGAACTCCCACAAAAGGCGCGATACAACCCGAGCACACAAGAGGGCTTCTTCAGCAACATATTCCTCGTCTGCAAAGAAAACGGGGACTTCAGTCCGGTGATCAACTTAACTCTAGGGGGGGGGCGGAGCGATGACGTGACGTGCACGTGGTGACGTCGCGCGGGTGAGAGGAGCAGAGGAGGAGGAA